AATTACCTGAGTGAGAGAGGAAAGAAGATTTTCTTGATGAAACGTCGGGTACTTATTGTCCAATGTGTTGTAAAAAACTATGTCAGTGAAAACCTCATATTTTATTCCCGCTCGTAACTCGTCCCGTCCCTCGACCCATTCCCATACATTAGTAGTTAATGTGATCCCATGTTCAAATACAAACGGCTGACTATTTTTGTCAAACACTATTTCAATCTTTGCGGCACCGGTTCAAATCCCACTAGGCTTGTTACTCATGCCATACCAGGTCTACCGGTCCGAGACGCATAGTCAGTTGCCTGTCCTAAGTCCCATTCTTGGTCAATCAGCTGAACCATGAAAAGTCAACAAAATCATTGTGTTCCCAAGCATTCACTTCCAATCGTATCGGATCTACGGACAAGAACGGACCCTTTGCTTAAACCAAGCCTACCGGCTTTGGGTCCGTATCAATCACCTATTCCAAGTTCAATTCCCGAAACCAAATACACAGAAACGGCTGTTAGAATACTAAACATTCACTTTTGTTCCTCCTTGACCTACGAACAAACACACAGACAAAGCATCCAATCTTCCAAAAGAACCTGTTGGGGCTGGCTCTGGTTTCGATGTGAGGTAAGAAGTCCTTTTGTGGAAAAAATCTTTAAGGGAGGGACCCCACAGTACGGCAGTAAACGGTTTCAGAAGTCTTCGACTTCCAGCCGACTGCCCACCGCCAACGGAGATGATGAAACAGACGAGACCCCACGCCACCGTGAAATGTTGCTTTTGCGTCGGAGAATGTGACGAACCACTTTCTGTAACGCGCGACTTTCTGCGCGGTTGCAATGAGGGGTCCTAAGTTGGGAAGGTTGGGCCAACTACGGGAAATCGGGATCGGTGGGAAATTGCATCCGTGTCCTTGCTTTTTCGTCTTTTCCCTCACTTCTTTTCGAATGATTGGGTTCGGAGCTGGGCATGTCCTAGGATGGCCGGTTGGTTGATTGGTCGGCTGGGTGGCTGGCGCGCCTCCACGCGTGTGCGATTAATAAATGATGACGTCGTTTCTTTCGCTTTGGTTTCGATCTTTTGGACGCAGACATCGCGCGGGAATTTGCCTTATTCTTTTTTAATTTCTCTTTCAAATCTTTTTCGAATTTTGTCGAGCCTTGATGGCTCTCGAAATTTCGGACTTTCTTCCCGGAACCTGTACTTTTGCTTTTCGCATTAGTTAGGAATTCAGAAATTTTTGTAATTAGGACTTTCTTTTGCCGCGTGGCGCCCTTATTTGCTTGCGCGTTTCTTTTTGTGGCTGCAACGGAATTCTGATAAGTCGGCGCCTTTAATCGGGTGTGTAACTGTAATTTTGGGTTGGCGCCATTGTAATTGTATCTTTCTTCTTGCTCTTCGTCCTTCCTGTCCTCCTTCTCTTTCTTTTGCTGTGTTTTTGAAACCACGAACTGCATGCTCTGATCGATGCGTAGATAGTGGCTACGTCCCCCACGCCGCGGCCCGGTCATGCAGAACGTAAGCACTCCATCTCTAATCTCCCCTCTAAGTCTTGGTAATTCCGTGTTCTTCACGCATGTATGCACGCTATAAATCCCGGCTGCGCGATTAGTTAGCTCTCTTAACCAACTGTCGGAAGCTCGGGGTTGCGCGATCAGGAAGGGTCGGCACACGAGCGAAGTAAGAGGTGAGTAGAGCAGGAGTCGGGCGACCTGACGAGCTGGTGCCAAACGCGGGGGGTTGACGCAGGCCACGACCGACTGTGGGCGCGGGCAAACCTGACGAGTGCGGGAGGACTAAGCGGGGTGACGACTTCGTGGGTTGGTGCGTGACGACGGACTGTCCGCATCGAAGAAGAAGAGCGAGAGAAAGAGGGTTGAGGTTGATGGACACGGTTTTGCTGTTTCTTTTGTCTCTTCTTCCCCTTGTCTTGTGTATATAAATTTTGATTTCGGCTTCGGGCAGTTTGCCCGTTCTTTTCAATTTCTCAGAATTTAAACCTGGGGTTCTTGCTTGCATTTGCCCTCGCGACTCTCCCATCTTTGACGTGCTATGTGTATGATTACGGAATGGATGGATGTATGGATGTCATGTTTGATTGCCTATCTTTTTGCTAAGAAACCCTTGTCTTTGCTTTTGTTGGTCGCCTTCAACGCACTCGTGTGTAGAATAGGGATTTTGCGCCATCAATAATCTTGTCTGTGTCTCTGCTTGTTTTTTTTTTATCGAGCTGTTTGTGATCATTGCATCTTGCATAACTCAGAACATCGCGAAGTGATTAGGCTGTCGGATCCCGGGCTCGATGAACGCCACACGAGGATACGTATAAGACGCGATCTAAGTTGCGCACTTACACATATCCCCGTGCGTCGACTCAACGGGACCATCAATCCGTCTGATTGAGAGCGGCCATCTCGAATCCGCAACGATGCAATCGTCCCGCACAAGCACGTGTAAGTTCGACGACAGTCACGCGACCTGCAAGTGCTCGCAGGCGACGACCGTGACCCGTCCTTAGGCAACTCATAATATCGCAATGTCATGCTGACGCGATCCTGGGATTCCGACTCATCCTACAACCTGGATTATTTCACCCCTTGGATAAACGAACTCCTAAGGCAGCGATACCCCTGCCACACTGAGAATCGACTGTGTCCTCGGGAGTTCCACTGCGCCACCTCTAGCGACCTGTGGTGCTCTGATTTCCCTTCTCCCGACCATACCTACTACTTCATCCACCCGGGATTTGTCGTCATCACCACTAGTTTCCCTCCTTTTCGCCTTCTTCTCCCGTATCACCAACTCAGTGTCGTTCGGTGGCTGGCCATAGCCCCCTATTGGCCCAGCACGCCCTGCGAAAATTGCTGACGTAGCGGTGAACGGAGAACCCCGGAATTCCGAAGGCCCAACTCAAACACGCAACGGCCTGCGCCGCGTGGCGGCCTCCGACGACCCAACTTTTCGGGACCATCTCCTCTGTGGAGGGACTTACCCGTAAGCCGTCGCCCACAGTACCCAGGCCCCATCGGGCCTTGAGTCCCTTGCGCACGCGCCCCTTATTCGCCTAATTGCATCCATAACCCTAAGACTCCCCCACTTTCCCAGAAATCCTTGGCACACCCCTTTTCGCACTTCCAGGCCCACATCCCACTTCGATCAGGAAGTCGCGCTGGGCGTGAGGTTGGTATCGGAGCCCGACACGTGGCTGGGTCTTGGGATTGATAGCACGGTAATTAGGCGATCTGGCTAACCGAGGGCGGCCTCGCCCTCGGAACGCGCATAGACGCAACCCCGTCGTTACCCGAAGTAGATCAGCCAATAGACGTGCAGCCAATATGGCCGCCAATGTACCAAACCCGCAGCAGAATGCCAATCAACCGAATCCTAATCAACCTGCCCCACGTGCACGGGTTCCCATGACGCCACCTGATCTATATTTATTTGACCCTGCGCACCACCTTGCAGGAGCATGGTTGGCCACGGTCCGAGCACGGCAGTATGACGATAACGAAGCTCAGGTAAACATCCCCGCTCGATTGGGAGGAGACGCTCATCACGGGTTTAGTACCTATATGTGGGTAGATCTTCAGACCTTCGAATGAGACTTTCTGAACCGATTTGATTACGTTCACCCAGAGCAAGCGCTTTACATGATCAAGGATAGAGTGCAAGAACCTCTCAAGTCCGTTGCGGAGTATCGAAACCGGTTCTATCGAATGTTTGTAAAGACTGAGCGAGGTGAGCAAGTAGGAAGAGATCTGTTCATAGACGGACTCCGCAGCCGAACAATAAGGGCAAAGCTGCGGAAGCAGTTTCCCCCCATCAATCATACATTACAACAAATCATGGACGCTGCAGAAGACATGGAACGAAAGTTTGCGGCGAACTTCCTGGAAGGAGAGGACTATTCTAGGGAAGGAGATTCGTCTGAACCCGCAAGGGCAAAAGCCGAATTGGCTGCGCTGCAAAATAAATTCGAAAATATGGGGTTTGTGTCGGGTCTTGTCACCTACATAGAACACATAGCCCCTAAACGACCAGTTCCAAGTGAGATCCCAAGTGTCCCCGTCCCCGTAATGCCAACGCCTGTAAGAACGGCACCCCTGCCCCCAGTCGAGACTCCCGTACGATCGAATGAATCAACTGCCATACTCGAGCTGACCAAAACCTTGGTTAGTCTAATTCAGGAAAGCAAAAAGGAGCAGCGAGAGCAAAATGCTTGGTTAGAAGCCATGATGAGGAATATGCAGCCCATTGCGGTGCGTGCCCCTCCGATTCAGCAAGGGTTAGCCCCGGCCCCCGCTCTTGGAGGAGTCGCAAGCAATCTGAACGTTTGTTATGCATGTCATCAACCTGGACATCTAGCCCGTGATTGCCCTCACAGGCCTCCGCAACAACGTGTCGGGGTCACACCGATGGTTGCGGCCCCCATCGCTAACGGACCACGACGAGTAGGGGCTTTGATGGAAGAAGTAGACGGTGGGGGAAGTGCCTTAGCCACCACTGAAGAGGCCGTCGAGCTAATCCCGTTAGATCAGTACGTGTCACTTGGTTACCCCGGGCTTGGGATGATCGGAACGATCAGACCAGCGCCAGAACAGAAAGAGGTGGCGGAGTGGCGGCCTTCTCCATGTGAGATGGAGTCGGGAGGACCCACCTTCGTCACCGGGGAAATCAATGTGCTTAAAATCATTCGAGCTTAGGACCATCGGATTCCGCTTCCGATCGGTCATTTGCTCTCGATCTCGGAACAAGCTAATGAGCGAATGCTATAACACTGCAAGGCGAACCGAAAAACGATTCGCCCTCGCCCGAATACCGAACGGAAAATCTAAAAACCCCGCGCCCGAGAAAACCCGGTTGGCACGTCGGATCCAATTCGGGTAGGGTTAATTAAGAAAGACGATCATTTTCTCCGGATTAAACCCATCCCGTGAAAATCCGCAGAATGTGATATTGAAATTTGGGGAATTCCTTACAACGCAATTATAGATTCGGGAGCAGCGGTGTTGGCTATTTCACTAAGAGTGGTCGAAAGGGCAGGTAGGAAAAACGATCTGATCATGCTTTTCGAGAAAGATCAGCTCGTTTCGGCTGACAAAGAAAAAATTAAAACAGTGGGAAGAATGACCAATGTCGCTTTTCGACTAGGAAAGGTGCATGCACTGGGAGATGTTGTCGTGTTAGATGTGAATACCTACGACGTTCTTTTCAGACTTCCTGCTCTTGTGGCGTTACAAGCAAACCTGGATTTCGAACGACGATCGATTGTCCTCCGAAATACAGGAGGAAAGCCCTATGCGGTGCCTATGAGACTAACCCTTTGTACCACCATCAACGCAGTCCCACGGGTTTCGCCGATGATGGCAGGGACTCTCCGCATGATCTCCTGGGATGAATCCGCAGACGGAAAGTCATCGACGAATGATGCAGACAGCAGTGATGAGGACGACCCGGAGATCTCGAAGCTAGCACGACAGCGTGTTTACTACTCGCCACCCAGAACGATAGCAAGAACGATGCATCTGACCTGTAAGAACGTCCAAAGGACCAAGGCGATGATCTTGGGTGAACCCCTCGTGCAGATTTCGAGGATGGTCGATTCTTTGGAACCCCCTCAAACCCTGTACGAAGGGATCACCCCGCTTCTCTCCCGATACAGCGACAAAAAGCACTACTGCGACATTACAGATCTACCAAGGTCCATGTTGACACCTGCAAAAGAAGTGCGATTGTTACRCTTGGGGGCGGAAGCAAGTTCTTTGGAACCCCCTAGGCGTCTCGAAGCAGAAACAAACGAACTGGGGATAAAGATCGCAACTAAGAACGTGCCATGGCAGGATATTTGTGACGGGATTACCCCGGAAGGATACGTGGCAATCCGGGAAGAAGATGCCCAGATGATGGTCACGGTGTTCTCCTGGCGATCGGACCATTCGTTCATTTTTGCACCCCCGCTCGATGTAGCGAAACCTGCATGCACAAAACAGATAGATGTACGGATCTGGGATCAACTTTTCGAGTTACACGTGCCACAGTACGTACCCGATGAAATTCATCGGTTGATTGCGGACATTTTGACGAAATATCGGGGAGCGATTAGCGTGACAGATACTCACATTGGCCTGTCGTTAGTTATTCAACACGAAATACAGACGGGAAATCACTCCTCGATCCATTGTAAGCCGTACCGATACTCCTTGATAGAACGCAAAAAGGCTCTCGAACGAATTCGAGAATTCAAAGCCTGCGGATGGATTGAACCCGCCACCGGACCATGGTCATTTCCCATCGTATTAGTGCCGAAGAAAAACGGATCAATCCGCATATGCATCGATTATCGCAAACTGAATGAGGTCACGATCAAAGATGTGTACCCCCTCCCCCGAATTGATGATTTGTTGGATGCGATTAACTGCGCTAATTATTTCAGCAAGTTTGATATTCGGCATGGCTTCCATTACATTTTGGTAAAGGAGGAAGATCGGTCGAAGACGGCCTTCGTACTGTTCGAAGGTACGTGGCAGTGGGTTCGATGTCCGATGGGGATTTGCAACGCGCCTGCCACGTTTCAGCGAGCGATGAACATGGCGTTCCATAATTTCGTCAACAAGACACGGCTGACACAATGGATGATTAACTTCTACGTGATCGTGTACATGGACGATATCCTGGTCTATTCGGAAACCTATCACGGGCACGCGCAACATATCGAATGGACATTGGGCGCGTTGAGAGACGTTGCGTTCAAGAGCGAATTTTTCCTCTCAGAAATTTCGTTCTTGGGCTATGTCGTGACACGTGGGGGATTACGACCGGACTCAAGAAAGGTTGCGGCAGTGAAAGAAGCCCCGGTTCCCACGTCACTGACGCATGTTCGAGCCACTTGGGGTTGGCGTCGTACTACCGACGCTTCATCAAGGGCTTTGCCGCGATTGCACGGCCATTAACGAATCTGCTACGGAAGGACCAGCCTCTCAGCTTGGACGCGGAGTGCCAGCAGGCCTTCGCGACCCTCAAAGACGCCTTGGCAACGACTCCTATTTTGATCCGACCGGACCTCTCCAAGCAGTTTATCCTCATTACGGACTGGCAACCGGAAGTCATTTCCGCTATTTTAGTGCAGAAGGGGGATGATGGCCGTGAACACGTCATCGAGTACGCGTCGCGCACCGTGCCAGATGAACGTCGGAATGACTCAGCATCTCCAGGCGAGTGCTATGCGGTAGTCTGGGGAATCCAGCACTTCCATCTGTATCTCTACGGACAAAAGTTTCGCCTCGTAACAGATCACGAGCCTCTGCTAGCTTTGAAGAAGTTCACCAACTACACGGGCATGATTGGCCGATGGGCGGTACGACTACAGGAGTACGATTTCGATATCGTTCATCGAAAAACGGAGAGACACGGCAACGCGGACGAACTGACACGTCTGCGTTGACCTACTAAAGTGCCGAAGGGCGAGGAAATTACACCGTGGAAGGAGCCAGACTTGACAAATGAGCCTAAGTACGGACAAGTGGCAGTTCTCCCACGTGGCAAGAAGCAGAACGGTGGCAATGGATGACGGAGGTAACCCCACTACCCCTCTTTCTCCCCTTTCCTCTTCGTCTCTCCTCTCCCTGCCTGACAATTTTTGCTATTTTTGCGAAGCTATCTCCCACGTGTACTCGGTTTCCATGCGTCCTAATGGGGAAGTGTATGCGGACTGGATAGACTGTCGACAGCGTGTTGCACGAGCCCATGGCTCGTGCATCCAATACAGAAACGATAGTAGACCGTGGTTGTGCTTCTTGTGTCAGACCGACAAGATTCCGACCGAGGCTCGCTTTTTGGATGCCACGTCAGAAGGGTTGGAGAAGACCCGGAGGTTTAGAAGGGCCAAAGTATGGACTGATATTGCCTTGATTGCCACCCTAGTTGGCAACCCCCTCCAGGATTTCACCAAGGAAGATCGGAGGAGGGCCAACGAGAGGGCTCGAGATTACAGATGGATAGAGGGCAGATTAGAAAAACGGAAAACAGACGGCAGTGGGATTTGGATGGTTGTACCGCATCCGTTTATGAGGTATGACTGGACTAAGACGGCACATGAAGAAACTCCGGCTCATTTCGCCGTACGGATCACAGAGTCGGCTATCGACAAAAATGAGTGGTACTGGTCCAATATCTGCGACGATGTGAAGTACATCGTCGCCAACTGTCAAGCCTGCGTCGCTGATAAGACGCCGATTCAGCCGCCAAGATCGATAGTACCCACGGTAGTTGAACGGTCATTTCAAAGAGTCAGTATGGACACTACCGACATAGTGGTGCCCCCTGGTCCTAATAGTTGTGAGTATTCAGTCCTATTGGTATTTGTCGACCACTTTTCGAAATGGATCGAAGCCTACCCTTGTCGCACGCGACAAGCCGCCGAAGTCGCGCGATACGTCAACCGCTTTCTCGGGATGCACCAGGATATAGAAGAGATTTGGACCGATAATGGGGCTGAATTCAGGGGAGAAGTGCTAAGGAATCTGGTCCTACACGGCGTTGCCATATGGAATACTGCACCCCACATGTCGCAATCCAATGGACTGGTGGAAAACGCCAACCGGGTGATAAAGACAGCATTGTGACGAAATATCGTGGCACGGGATTTGAGTCCCTGGCCCGATATCGTCGACCACATCCTGGCGGTCCATCGCGGAACGCCCCACGAATCGACAGGGTTGAGCCCCTTCCAGTTGAGGACCAATAGCGTCGCTTGCGTTTCGATACCAAGCCTCCCAGATGAATCCACACTGAACCGACGGCCCACCAGGGCTACGGCTCGGGACAAGGCCAAACGACACTTTGAATTGATGGAACGGTCCCTGCCCAAGTTAGCCCGAAAACGACAAAAAATGACCGAATTGGCCCAAGGACGACAGGTCCGCAGCTACGAGGCCCGAAATGGGAATGCGGGTCCGCGGCCCCAGTACAAATTAGGGGATGTGGTGCAGGTAAGGAAATGTGCTCGCCAGGGTAAGCTAGCGCCACGATTCTTCGAGCGATATCGTGTGATTGAGCTCAGGCCTAACGGCGTGGACACCTTGTGTCTCGCCCCCGAAGCCTCCAGCAGTCGATCGGCTCGTCCGATCACACGACACGTGTCCTATCTTTGCCTTCTTCCCTCTACTCCGTCTCCTTCTCCCTCGGTCTCTCCCTCCGAGGAAGCCGACGATGACGGCTCTGTCTCCCTGGCATCTCCCTCTTCTTCTTGCTCCCTCTCTGCCTCCCCGTCACCTTCGCCATCGCCATGAGTTTTCTGGAGGAGAGAGCCCTCAGCGAAGCATCACTTGCGCCCCGTGATCGATTGACGATCCAGCAAGTCCATCATCCCCGCCTCAGTCCAGATCTTCGGCGGCTTGCACACTTCTTCTGCACGGAAGGCGTGTATGCAGCGGCGGTGTTCAGAATCGAAGGCCGGCCTAACGCGGTGGTACTGGCCGAGGCGGTAGCAGTTCATCAGCGAGCGGTGCCAGGTGTCAGCCGCATATCCGTCATCATCAACTTCAGTGGCGATCTCTTCACGCTCCTTCCCTTACGACATTCGGCGGTGAAGGCGTCGCTGTGCACGTGGGCAAACGATCTTATTGCCGAGTGGACCTAGCTTCTGGCTCGTCATGGGGATACGATCGCGACGACACGAGCAATCGAGTACGACGACCTTCGGATGTATCAGCGCGATCCGCCGACGGAACTCCCTGTCCTCGTTCCCTTCCCGCGTCCCCAATGAGTTTCTCTCTGATCTCCGCTTTTGATCTCCCCTCCACCTTCCCCACCTTCTGGCAGTCCGACATCCATCCTCGCCTTTCCTATTGTCTAAAGCCTCTTGTTGTCCCCCTTCTTCATCCTCCCCATTGGATCCTGTGGCACGAGGATTTCATCGAGCTTTCATTGTGTTTGGTTGAGGTACGACTGACGTGGACCGAGGACGGAGCGCACCCACCTCGCATAGAGCGTCTAGAGTTGCTGTTTATCCAGGCCTGAGGCACCAGCGTGGAGGGGGAGCTTCTCACGTTTTTATTTGGAACGGTGCGGCCCGCTCATCGGGAACTTAGCGCGCAAGAGCTCACGATTTTTGTAGCGCAGCTGGCGGATGATCGCCCTCTCGACATCATCGCGCAAGACGACGAGCATCCGGTTCCCCATGTGCTCTCCCGCACATTGACACCTTACCTTCAGTGGTCGGCTTGCGTAGAGGGAGCCGCCGAACGCATCCTGTCGTCGCAGCAACAGTATTTGGATCCCAAGACGACTCTCGATCCTGCCTTCTTCAGGTACCCTACAGCGGAGCAGTTTGCTGCCATTCGAGAAGAAGAGGAGGAAGAAGAGAGCACCGGGAGTGACGAAGGAGAAGACGCGCGAGAAGAAGGCGGGGATAGCGACGAAGTGCTCGGGGAAGAGGATGAAACCCCCGAAGAAGGAAGCTATAGCGAGCATAGCGAGGGGGAACAGAGCGAAGAAGAAGAAGAAGACGAGGAAGGAGAAGAGGAGCACGAAGAGGGGCTTGCTGGATCGGAGTGGGAAGCTGTGCCGGAAGAAGCACTGCGTACAGGCACGGAGGCTAAGGATCTCGAGGCGGCCCGCAAAAGAGAAGAGATCGCGGCCGGAAAGAAGGAGTTAGAACTCGCGAGCGCGGCGAGTATACACATCCGCGACGACCCAAACCGAGATCCGGAGCCGCCCCGACCTGAAGATGGCGACCTCGCGGCCACGACTCCGACCCCATCAGCGCGGCGACGGAGCCGATCCCCCTCCTCCCCAACCCGTCCCCCAGTTCGCCGACGTACCGATACGGGCGATCGGCCTTCGTCCCCGATCGCTCTCTCGCCGTCCCTTTGATTACCTCACCCTCCGCCAGCTCACCACCCCCATCACGTTCAGCTCCAATCCGTTCCCCCGCGACACCTTCCGCCACTTCTACGCTGCTCGCCTCGCTATAGTAGTGCATCCCCACCTCTCCATCCGATGCGCCGTCCCGGCCTTCTGCCTCCATGTCTTACTCCTTAGTGCCGCGTGGCGAGGCCACAATATGATCGAGGTTTATTGAGTGATAACGGGGACCATCCCCACATGCGAAGACCGTGATCGCTTCCGCGTGGCACTCTTCCGAACTCTCACCACCCTCTATCCCGACTATCTCGCGTCCCTCCCTCGCACTCGCAACCGATTCCCCCATTTTCATCGCATTGTTCGTTATCAGGAGCTCCCGGAGACTGTGGCCGGAATGGAAAGTCTCCTGCCCCCGCTACCCATAAACCCTCCATCCCGCCATGCCGCTATGTACCGGCTTCCTTTTCCCCTCCCCTGCGGGGACTGATGTATGGCTATTGGACACGTGTCATAACGGCGACACGTGTAATCCCCCTCCTTGGAATGTCGAAGGCCTACCCTGAGGAAGTAGTAGAAGAGCAGTACTGCCACGTTGGACGACGTCCACACTCAATTTAACGGTAAGTGGCATAGAGAGAAATGCTCCGCGTGTCGGTCGATCAGAGAAATCGACACGTGTCACAAGCAAGCAGGAGCTTGCTGATTTTGGAACCCCCTGGGCGTCACATATGTGACGAACCACTTTCTGTAACGCGCGACTTTCTGCGCGGTTGCAATGAGGGGTCTAAGTTGGGAAGGTTGGGCCAATTACAAAAAATCGGGATCGGTGGAAACTTGCATCCGTGTCCTTGCTTTTTCGTCTTTTTCGTCTTTTTCGTCGCTTCTTTTCGTCGCTTGATGACTCTCGGAATTCCGGACTTTCTTCTCAGAACCTGTACTTTTGCTTTTCGCATTAGTTAGGAATTTAGGAATTTTTGTAATTAGGACTTTCTTTTGTCGCGCGGCGCCCTTATTTGCTTGCGCGTTTCTTTTTGCGGCTGCAACGAAATTCTGATAAGTCGGCGCCTTTAATCAGGTGTGTAAGTGTAATTTTGGGGTGGCACCATTTTAATTGTATCTTTCTTCTTGCTCTTCGTCCTTCCCGCCCTCCTTCTCTTACTTTTGCTGTGTTTTTGAAACCACGAACTGCATGCTCAGATCGATGCGTAGAGAGTGGCTACGTACCCCACGCCGCGGCCCGGTCATGCAGAACGTAGGCACTTCCTCGCTAATCTCCCCTCTAAGTCTTGGTAATTCCGTGTTTTTCGCGCATGTATGCACGCTATAAATACCGGCTGCGCGATTAGTTAGCTCTCTTAACCAGCTGTAGGAAGCTTGGGGTTGCGCGATGAGGAAGGGTCAGCACACGAGCGAAGTAAGAGGTGAGTAGAGCAGGCGTCGGGCGACCCGACGAGCTGGTGCCGAACGTGCGGGGTTGACGCGGACCACGACGGACTGTGGGCGCGGGCGAACCTGACGGGTGCGGGAGGACTAAGCGGGGTGACGACTTCGAGGGTTGGTGCGTGATGACGTACTGTCCGCATCGGAGAAGAAGAGCGAGAGAGAGAGGGTTGAGGTTGATGGACGCGGTTTTGCTGTTTCTTTTGTCTCTTCTTCCCCTTGTCTTGTGTATATAAATTTTGATTTCGGCTTCGGGCAGTTTGCCCGTTCTTTTCAATTTCTCGGAATTTAAACCTGGGGTTTTTGCTTGCGTTTGCCCTCGCGACTCTCCCATCTTTGACGTGCTATGTGTATGATTACGGAATGGATGGATGTATGGATGCCATGTTTGATTGCCTATCTTTTTGCTAAGAAACCCTTGTCTTTGCTTTTGTTGGTCACCTTCAACGCACTCGTGTGTAGAATAGGGATTTTGCGCCATCAATAATCTTGTCGTTGTCTCTGCTTGTTTTTTTTTTATCGAGCTGTTTGTGATCATTGCATCTTGCATAACTGAGAACATCATGAAGTGATTAGGCTGTCGGATCCCGGACTCGATGAACGCTGCACGAGGACACGTGTAAGATGCGATCTAAGTTGCGCACTTACACATATCCCCGTGCGTCGACTCAACGGGGCCATCAATCCGTCCGATTGAGAGCGGCCATCTCGAATCCGCAACGACGCAATCGTCCCGCACAAGCACGCGTAAGTCCGACGACAGTCACGCGGCCTGCACGTGGGAGCACGCGACGGCCGTGACCCGTCCTTAGGCAACTCATAATATCGCAATGTCATGATGACGCGATCCTGGGATTCCGACTCATCCTACGACTGAGATTATTTCACCCCTTGGATAAACGAACTCCTAAGGCAGCGATACCCCTTCCACACTGAGAATCGACTGTGTCCTTGGGAGTTCCACTGCGCCACCTCTAGCGACCCCCGATGCTCTGATTTCCCTTCTCCCGACCATACCTACTACTTCATCCACCCGGGATTTTTCGTCATCACCACCAGTTTCCCTCCTTTTCGCCTTCTTCTCCCGTATCACCAACTCAGCGTCGTTCCGTGGCCGGCCATAGCCCCCTATTGGCCCAGCACGCCCTGCGGAAATTGCCGACGTAGCGGTGAACGGAGAACCCTGGAATTCCGAAGGCCCAACTCAAACAAGCAGCAGCCTGCGCCGCGTGGCGGCCTCCGACGGCCCAACTTTTCGGGACCATCTCCTCCGTGGACGGACTTCCCCGTAAGCCGTCGCCCACAGTACCCAGGCCCCATCGAGCCTTGAGTCCCTTGCGCACACGCCCCTTATTCGCCTAATTGCATTCATACCCCTAAGACTCCCCCACTTTCCCAGAAATCCTTGGCACACCCCTTTTCGCACTTCCAGGCCCACATCCCACTCCGATCAGGAAGTCGCGCTGGGCGTGAGGTTGGGCGTCACAAGGCGGTTACCCAAAAAGGAAATTCCATGGCTGTTTTCCTTTTTGGGAAAGGTTGGGGCCTGGAAGGCCATTCCAGGTCCCTTACTAGTGGTTGTAATGGAAGGGCTGCCAACTTCCGTCTGCATGCGCCGGAGTATGCACCCGGGAGGTAGGCGAACGGACCAAGCATTGGAAAACGGGAATTTAGGGTCACGTAGGAATAAAGGGGCTGTGGGCCGAGTGAAAATGGTTATCCGCTGTCTTCCGCAACGGGAATCTTGGTCTGTGGGATTTGGGAAGTTGCCTCGCGACTTTCGAAACCGTTTGTCACCGTCCTGTGGGGTCCTACCTTAATTCTTTGTTTTTCCAAAAGTTTTGCTAAACGAAGGCGCAAAATAGCCCCGGTATCTCAATTTGTTCTGTATGAATTCATAAGGGAAGCTGGGTGTCAAAAAAAAAAAAAAAAAAAAAAAAAAAAAAAAAAAAAGGGAAGCTGGGCCCAATTCGCAGCACGTGCTGCTGCTCACAAATTTTAGGCCGGCGGGGGTAGTGGTGGTTTAATGGAGCATTGTCCCCCCGAAAAAGAAAAAAGTCCAGGAAAAAAAAGGGAAACTACGCGGGAGTCACGAAAATGAGTCGTAATTGCACTATGGGCCAAGATACAGTTTCGAAGTGCAGTTCGGGCAACGTATACAACCCATCATTCTGGCCAGTTATGGTGCCTGAAGTGCAATTGCAAACTGTACCTTGCCCCATAGTGCAATTATAACTCGTTTTGGATGCCACACTTTCGTCTTTTCTTTTTCTTCCAACTGGCTCTTCCCCCTCAGGAGACCCCACCCACCCCCCTTTTCACCACTAGGACTTGCAGCTGCTTCCTTTCTTTCGTCATAGGACGTCATGTAGTCACCATATGCCTCCCTGCCTCCTACGTCATTTCATGCCGACGTCAATAGGCAGCTGGCTTGGTTCCCGGCCACACCCTGTGACAGTATTTGCCCCTCCTCTTCACAGTGCAAGGCCTGCAGATCTTCCTTGTCATGCGCTTTCACCACGGAAATGACACTCTTTCAATAAAGGGCTCGCCACACGGCACATGAAATGAAAATGAAACGAGTGCATCTGCCTACGAAAGGTGGCAAAATAAAGTCATTTATATTTATAGCGAACCGTCGAACCTGTCCATTGCTTGTGGGGAGATGCACTCGTTTCATTTTTGGTTTTGTGTGTCGTAAGGCGACGCACAAAGTTTTTCCTTTTCAGAGTTTTGTTGAAAGCCAATCCTCCTTTCTTTTCCAGAGGCGAGGTCCCCCTAGCAAAGAGGATTGGATTTAAAACATGAATCTGGCCGTATTTGTGGAGTGGTGCAGAAGAAAAAGATTGATGCTTCCATAAAGTTTTTTTCTTTTCAAATGGGCAATACATTATAGGATGAAACAAAAAACGGAGGCCGGTAATCCCTCCACAAAGCAACCTGGAGAGCTGGAAACCGGGTCAAGCGTCCCTTAGAGAACCATTAGGCCCAAGAGCCTATAACTCATGCCAACACAAGACTCAAATGGATAATAAAGACTATCAAACTGAACTAGTAGTAGGTGAGATTAGTAGGCCCCTAACTACACAATGAGTTCCGTGGCCTCGTCCCATAGATGCCTGGAAATGACTATTCTACCCTTCTCTGATAATGTAATCCATCTACAAGGTTTACCCCATGCTGCCTCCATTCTAACTTCGGCCTTTCACAAGAGGACGTCAGAGAACTTGACTTTCCTCCATTCTGCAGCAATGAGGTTCCTTATTGCAAATTCGAATTTGTTCCTGACTGTTGATTAGCACGATTGTACCCATCTCCTCTCTCTTCTGGCGAGCCACAGTATCCAAAAAACCGCGACTCTGAACTTGTTGGCTATTACCATCTTATGGACAATGAAGTATTTCCTTTCCGAAGTGATACTCCCTTTTTCTTGAAAGCGGATCCTCCTTTCATTTCCAGGGGTGAGGTCCCACTAGCAAAGAGGATTGAATTTAAAGCCTGAGTCTGGATGTGCTTGTGGGAAGGTGCAGAAAAAAGAGATTGATTTGGTTTTCTGCATCTCTGCATAAAATACATCCAAATTCAGACACTTGATCCGATCCTCTTGGCTAGTGGGACCTCTCCCCAGCGGTGTCCCC